GGCGCGCTTAGCCACACAGAAGCTAAGTCGCCCCAGGTACCTGCGTCTCCAATAAAGCCTCTTGTTTTTTTGCATCCAGTTCGTGGCCTCGCTGATTCCTGGGTGTGTGGGTCTCCCTCTACGAAAGTGCCTCTTCGGGGTCTTTCACCAGGAAGTGTGGCAGCAGACAGGCATGACACCAGGAATGGCAAACTGAAAGTTGGTATATCAAACCACAAGCATGAATCGGAAAGTACAAACTAGGAATAATATAAACTTTCAAAACCTCAAAGCCCACCCACCAGTGACATACTTCCTCCAGCAAGGCCACACCTCCTAAGCCTCCCCAAACAGCACCAACTGGGGACCAAGTACTCAAATGCCAGAGCCTACAGAGACATTCTCATTCAAACCTGAGACAAGAAGCCAGGCTGTAAACAGAGTTCTTAATTGGTCTAAGTAACAAAAACCCCGGAGTCAGATATAGAGGGAAATGCTGAGAGAGGAGCAAACCACCCACACACCTTACCTCCTTAGCGCCTCAGCAAACAAGAGAGAGTTCCTGTTTCTCCCAGCTTACATCCTGTTTCCACCCAGCTACCTCACTTCCCGTCTGTCTGTACAGACCTCCAGACCCCAGTGGTTAGTGGTTAGCTAGTGGCAAGCTTCATCCTCTGGCCTTCAGGAGGGCTTTAAATAAAGCCTTGCTTTATACAAGCAAGATATCACTACACCAGACACACCTTCCCGGACTTCTATTTTATACAACAATGCTATCAATGATCTATTATATTTTTTAAAAAGTTATTATTTGAAAGCCTAGAGAGATGGTTTAGCAGTTAAGAGTGCTTGATGCTTGATAACCCAGGTCCAGTTATCAACACCCTAATCAGACGGCCTGTGACTGCAGTTTCATTTAGATCCAACACTCGCACCTCCTGAGCAGCTTACATAAACTCATGCAGCTTCACACATACACATAAATAAGCATGGGTGTGCAGAGCACGCCCCAAAATACTGACTCTCATCCACCCAACGCCAACCAGTGAGGGGTGGGGCATCCTGAACCCCTCAACCTTTCTTTTATTTTTTTACATTTTTTTATTAATTTATTTTTTACATTCCAATTCCCCCTCCCTCTTCTCCTCCCATTTGCTCCACGGAGAGGGTAAGTTCTCCCCTAGGAAGTCTACTAAGTCTGTCCCATCATCTCGTTGAGGCAGGACTAAGGCGCCTGCCTCTCCACCCCCGCACCCCTGTGTCTAGGCTGAGCAAGGTATCTCTCCATATAGAATGGGCTCCACTAAGTCAGTTTGTCTATCAGTGTTAGATTTTGGACCCACTGCCTCAATCTTCCTCTTGACACCCAAACAGAAAAATATACCTTGCAAGTTAATGGGAGACAAAAACAGGAACAATATACCCAGCAGGCTAAAGGTTCTGTTTGCCGTTAAGAATAAATTCCTAGCCAAGAGTTGGTGGTGCTCGCCTTTAATCGCAGCACTCGGGAGGCAGAGGCAGGCGGATCTCTATGAGTTCGAGGCCAGGCTTGTCTACAGAGTGAGTTCCTGGACAGCCTCCAAAACAATACAGAGAAGCCCTGTCTCGAAAAACAAAAACAAAAAAGAATAAATTCCTAAAGCAGGCAATAGTTAATCCCAGCACTCAGGAGGCAGAGGCAGCTGATCTCTGTGAGTTCAAGGCTAACCTGTCTACAGAGTGAGTTCCAGGACAGCCAGGGCTGTTACACAAAGAAACCCCATACTTATGACAAATATACTTACCCCTGCTCCTTCCCTTTCATGTTATCTCTCTTGCAATGTATAACAGCCTACTCTCTCATCCCTGTGAATACCTTACCCTCTATAAAAAGGACCTCAAGAGGTCAGCAGGGGCTGTTCTCTCAAGTGCCAACTTAGGGTTTGGCAGCTGGCTGGTCAGTCCCAGGTGCATCCCAAAATATAGCTTTAATTGAACAATCATGAGTTTGGTCTTTTCTCCTCAAAATTCTCAGGTCTAACTAACAGTCTGTGTATCTTTTTGCCCCAGTCTCCAAGGTGCTGGGATGTGTCACCACACCCAACCATAAGTGGTTTGCTTGTTTTTTGAGTCAGGGTTTCTCTGTGGCTTTGGAGCCTGTCCTGGAACTAGCTCTTGTAGACCAGGCTGGCCTCAAACTCACAGAGATCCACCTGTCTTTGCCTCCCGAGTGCTGGGACTAAAGGCGTGCGCCCATAAGTGATTTTTTTAAGACTGATTTTTATTTATGTGTGGGTGTCTAAGGAGACCAAAAGAGGGATTCAGACACCCGAAAACCCAGAGTTACAGGTAGTGTGAGCAGCCTCCGGTCCACTACGAGAACAGGAAGTACTCTTAACCTCTGAGGCATCTCTCCAGCCTCCTGAGTGTTAGTGGTCATTTGTTAGACACCGTGCATATAATACAAAAAAGCAAAGCACAAAACTAAACCAAATCCCGGCCATTCATATTTTCTTAACAAAAGCAACAAGGAGAGAAGGTTTCAATATTTTATTCAAGTTTTATTTTAAGTGATGTTAATTACAGCATTTGAAGGGGAGAAGATAATTCCACACAAAATGGAATACTCTGTAATGTACCCATTAAATTGCTAAAAAAAATATAGTGGTGAGGCTGTAATAGATGTCATTTTTGATCCCTAGTGTTGTCATGGTGTGACTGAAATCACCTGCCCAGCTTAAAGCTGGAGATCCTGGAAGCTGTTTCATACTTGGTGTAAAGGCAAAGAAAAAAATAAAAGAATTAAAAGAAGAAAGGAAGGAATGAAGGAAAAGAAAACCATACCACAAGGGAAACTGATGGGCTAGGATGGGAACAGGGCATGGTGATCTGTCTTAAAAGTCCCTTCCACACAGGTGTGTACATGCTTCTCAGCAGTTAGGATTGGGACACCAAGATTCGATGCTCAGGAAGTCGCAATTTCATCTGTGGACTCGACACAGATTTACAAAGGACCCAAACATTAAGCTTCCACTTGCAGCCTGACGTCTCTGGAGTGGCTCCTCCCCAACCCACATCTACAGCTAAAAGGATCCTTTTAGGAATGGATTTCTGCTGTGCCTCTGAAATGGAAAACACCTTAAAGCCGAGTCATCCTTAGCCTGGACATCTAATGTGGTATTTATCAATTCTCGCATCCCCAACATACAACATTAAAAGGTACACTAAATTCTGAAGGTAGCTATACTGCAAAATAGTTTAAAATTAACGATTGTACAATATTCATTTATGCTTGAAATTCCAGTCCTAGACCAAGCTTGTGGCCACCCGCATTGACGTTCTTGCCGTCCAGCAGAGCTGACAGCGTCAGTTTGATACCTGCAGGAAGACGAGAGAGACAGGGTGTATCATGGAGGGATGAGGAAGGAGGAAGAGACAAAGGAAAGAGAGGTTAATACCAAAGTCAGAATTTGTTCCAGGTACAATCAGCAGGGGCCAAACGAGGTGACCCTTCAGCATACATTCTGTAATATACCCTGGCTTGCTGGTACCCTCAAATGAACACATGCAACATCATTAGTGGTACCCAGAGCAGAAACCCTACTGGAACATCCACTTTCCTTTCTCCCTCATCTTCCCCCATTACAATGAGCATTTGACATCTGGTACCCTAAGGGTAAGCTGCTTGAGCAATACTGTCTTGGAGGGAAACCCTGTCCTGTATCAGGCTTGAATGTTCATCTTCTTAACACTATGCACCCATACTCACACACACAATAAACTCCTTTTCCTGGGAATTACTCGTAATTTTAGATCAAATGGGCTGATTTTCCGAGAGGAACTTGATTCTCACATCACATCACTGGGCTTCAAGGGTTCAAAAGCGGGATTAGCCCCTAGAGCCCCCACACACATAGTGGCTTCGACAATTACGCAGAGGCGCTAACCATCATGCCTTTCCATAATGAGGGCGACTGACAGGCTAAATTTGACAACCGCCTGGAAATAAGTGTCACACCTCAGGAAAAGGATGGAAGAAAACAGCCAGAGATGTGACATGGTTTTTACCAGTGTTTTCCTTCTGGCTTTCTATTTCTCATACTCTTTTTTTTTTTTTTCCTTTTGACAATGACCCCACAACTCCTTTATAAACATTCAAATCTAAAGGTTTATATACACTCATTTACAATGTTCCATAGGAAGAGCAGGAGTCAGCAAAATATAACCAGAGAACTAGCTTTGCACCCAGGCAAAACATACCTGGCTTTAGGGTCTGAGTGTACCCTAAACCGATCAGGCTAGAGTTGTTCACTTTGGCCTGAAAGAGAAAAGATAAGTCCAAGTGAAAACAGTATCCCACATGTTTACCTCCAAAAAGAGTGAGGGTTTCTCACTCAGATCCCAGCTATCAGAACCAAACTGTACCTGCCCATGGTCATCTCATGAAACTCAGAATGACATGTGTCAAATGCAGGTGCCTGTACTCTCCTGCTTCTGTGAACTCCCAAGGACGGAGCAAGGAGAATAAGGGCTCTTGGAAGCCATACCCCCTCTAACCATTCCTTTATGTTCCCAACATGGAGGCCCCTTGTCCTTTGGTTTTACACACATGGCTGATGTTGAGGGAGCCAAATCTTGTTCCCAGGTCAGGAGACTTAAAACAGACTATCTGTGAGTTATACCAACCAGCAGAAACATTTTGCAACAAGACACTTCCTCATTCCACCCAAAAGGGTGGCCACCTACTGTGTGACAACAGAAGCCAGCTCAACTCATTTCACCACAAAACCTGTGTAGTTCGGGGCCTCTGACCAGTGCCACGGGGCAGGCAAGACAAGATGTCCACTGATCAACAACTTGGTTTTGTCAGTTTAGAGGTGTGCTCTCACTATGTAGCCCAATGTTGCCTTTGAACACTTGCTATATCATAGCCACGAAAGGCCTTGAACTTCCCATCCTTCTGCCTGCTGTTTCTGCTGTGCCGGGGATCAAGCACCAGGCTTTCTGTATGTTAAAAAAGCACTCTTCCAACTGAGCTACAGCCCTGGCCTCGTTTGGGTTTGCTTTTCCCCCCAGTAATATGGCTTAAGCCCAGTGCACACACGTGCTAGGCAAGGGCTCTACCACTAGAATACATCATCCTGACCACTGATGCCTTAATGTAGACCACAGGGACTGAGAACAAAATGAAAATGAGGGCAAAAATAAAACATTTAAGGGAATACAGTTTGCATGATGGGACAGGAACGGTTAAAGAAAGAGGCTCAATAGCATAGTATCTGCTCAAAACCAGGTCTGGGGACACATTTTCTCTGTGCTGTGTGCCTTTAAGGAAATTATCCAATCTACCTCCATAAGTGTTCAGCTCCTCCAAAATAAAAATATTGATGAACTAAAAACCATGCAGAGCCAGGCAGTGGTGGAAACACAGGAATTCTCCCAATCGTAAGCCCAGTGATTCATGGGTACCCACCGAAAAGCAGGCATCAGGATCGACCTGATACTTGGCTGCTATTCCAAAGCGAGTGTTACTGTTTCCTGCTGTCCAGGCAAGATTGACAGCAGTCTCCAACTTCTTGTTCACCTTTTGGTAAATGGAGCCACCAAACTCTGTCCCATCGTTCCTGCAAGTAAGCATAGCAACAGATGACCAGCTGTCCAGCGATGTGGACTGAAACCCAGGCAGAGTCACCAGCACTAGCAGGAGAGCAGGAATGTCACAAATAGACTGAACCAAGCCAGGGACTCAAGACCAACTTTCATGAAATGAGTGCTGAGATACAGGAAGCCTGACAATAGTGGGGCAAACACCAGAGTCTCCAAGTTTCAGAAGTTAAAACAGCTCACCAATCACTGGGAACTCTCAAAGGCATCCCAGATAACTATCAGAGCAGCATGAAACTTCAAGCTTGCTTTCAAATGCTCTTTTAGAAACGGGGGCAGATGAGAGAACTCAATTGTTAGGGTATGAGTATTTGCCGCTTTCCCAAAGGACCTAAGTTCATCAGTCTATATCAGGCAGCTCATAACTGCCCATTAACTCCAGCTCCAGAGACTCCAGCACCCTCTTCTGGCCACCATGGGCACCTGCACAAATGTGACATACACACACACACACACACACACACACACACACACACACACACACACAAAACTATGCATACATACACATGAATAAAAACAAACTGTTGTTTTAAAATGAAAGCAGAGCCGGGCGGTGGTGGTGCACGCCTTTAGTCTCAGCACTCAGGAGGCAGAGGCAGGCAGATCTCTGTGAGTTTGAGGCCAGCCTGGTCTACAAGAGCGAGTTCCAGCACAGACTCCAAAGCCACAGAGAAACCCTGTCTCGAAAAAAATCAAAAAAAAAAAAAAAAAAAAAAGAAAGAAAGAAAGAAAGAAAGAAAAATGAAAGCAGAAACTAGAAAACTGGGATTCTACAGAGCTTTCTACTTTCTACTGTTTGTGTCTTTACTTATGTAAATGATTCTGTCAAAGATGGTAGGAGGGAAGCAAAGGAGAAGAAACATGGCCAGAACAGCCAGGAAAGCTCAGGCCTCACACTCCTTGGAAGGCAAGTACTGTAGTTTGGATATGGAAAAAGAGAACAGATTCCCTGCAAGCTGTTCTCTAATCTCCGTGTACACTGAGACATAGGGATTCTCACACACACACACACACACACACACACACACACACACACACACATGCTTTAATTATTATCAATGGAAACAGATTTGTTTAGATTTGTTACTGGTCTGAGTAAGGCATTACTTCTTTAGTGCCCTCTAGTGGAAAGAACATGTTAGTGTTTCATGGAATTAAGACAAACAAGATTACCTTTTTTTTTTTTTAATTTTTTTTATATGTATGGGGGAATGATGTACCCTTCAAAGACCATGAGAGAGCATTGGATCCCCTAGAGACTCAGGTGGCATGCAAAACAAGAGTGCTGGGAACCAAACTTGTATCCTCTCCGAGAGCAGCAAGTGCTCTTACCTAATGAGCTTCCCTCTAGGCCCAAATAAGATTATTTTTATGGCTGAAAATTTTGATTCCCTCAAATCATCAATGTCCTTCAACCTCCAAGTCTGGTGGTAGACTCTCTCTAACCTACTATGTAACCTCTCTGCCTGTCACCCATAGTCCAACAGTCAGCAAACTTTTAACAACATTAACAGAGAGAAAAAAATCCTGTGCATTCTTGATTATCTACCGTGGGATGGGAAACAAAAATGCTAACAGGCCCTTTGGCTCATCTCACCAAAATGACTGAAAACTGATCTTAGGAAAAAAAAAGAAAAGCACCCCCCCTAGCCAATACATAACACCCATGGCATTCCAAATGAGATTGGTCACCATTTGAATACTAGGTCCTCAGGTGGTCGAACTTTTTGGGAAGGATTAGGAGGTGTGGTTTTGTTGGAGGCGGTGTGTCGCTGGGGTTAGGCTTTGAGGCTCTCTTTCTCTCTGCCTCTTGGTTGTGGATCAAGATGTGAGCTCTCAGCTGTTCCTGCCACTGTGCCTTTGCCCTGCCATCATGGACTCTAAATAATTCCTTTTATAAGTTGCTTTGGTCACGGTGTTTTGTCACAGCCCTAGGAAAGTAAGTGACAACGCCCCTACACACTTACACATTAGTATGAAGCTGGAACTCGTCCGTCTTGTACCCAACTGCGAAGTTGCTCTGGGTCACTCGGGACTTCGAAGTCTCAAAATTCATCTGGTAGCCAGCCAGCCAGCCCTCATAGCCAAGCACCAGAGCACCCCGGATGGAGGGCCCAGCCATGTCAATGACCACATCACAGCCCAGGTTGATATGCTCCCTCTTGTACCCTGTCTTGATTTTAGCATTTTTTTTCCTAAAAGAAAAAGAAAAAAAAATGTATTAAAGCGAAGCTAACTCACATTGACACTATCATGCTAAGAACAATGCAAACATGTTGACTGGTCCCAGTATGAGTAGGAGGTAGGGAACAGAAGCAGGGTTAGTGGTTAGTTGTCCCCCAAACAGCTGCTGAGCCACAAGCAGGTCACAAGTTCTCCTGAGCTCACATCTAGTCTGCAAAAGGTTACATTGACACTGTGCTATGCACGCCATGGGAAGAGGCCAGAAAGTGAGTTCCAACCACACTCCTTTTCTAGCCTCTCCCTATACCTAACCCAACACCCTACACAGGCATCTATTAGGCATGTTTATTGTTTTCCAAACTTACAGAAGAGGTGCAAATCACAAAGCTACCCAAGCAGCAATTTGAGGGAGGTGGTCATCTTTGTGGCTCACCCAGTAGGTGCCCCCCCCCTCAAAAAAGATCCCTGGGGCTGGAGAGGAAGCTCACAAGTTAAAAGCAAGTGCTTGTGCAGAAGACAGGGATTCGGTTTCTAATACCTACACTGGCAGCTTACAACTGCCTGCAACTCCAGCTCCTGGGGTTCTGACACCTTTTCTGGCCTCTGCAGGTAACTGCCTCTATGTGGTGCTCACGTACATGCGTACATGCATACATGCATGCACACACACACACACACACACACACACACACACACAAAATCTTTCTCCTGCTTAGTGAGTACACTAGGAGAGTGTTAACTGCCATAGTCGAAAGATACCACTGAGTTCACAACGGAGAGTCCTAGATACTGATGAGGAACCTGAGTCCTTCAGTCATGGGGGCTGGAAGTCCTGATCTCAGGCCCAGTGATGCCAGATTCTTCACGTCTAAGACCAGTTAGTTCAGTGTCTGTCAACTATACTCAGTGTCCCACAACAAGGGTAGATGAGTTATAAATTTTAACCAAAGCAAACCCCAGAGAATAAGAGAGCATCTACTGGGCTGAGTAGATGGCTCAGTGAATAAAGCACTTGCCAGACAAGCCTAAAGACCAGAGTTCAAATCCCCAGAGCCCAGTAATGCTGTCTGCATAGCAGAAGTATCTGTAATCCCAGTAAATTTCTCTGCAGAGATGGGATGGAATGACAGGAGGCCCACTAAAACTTAAAAGCCAGCTAGCCTGTCATATATATCAGTGAACAAAAGAAATTCCAGAAAGATGGTTCAGTGGTTAAAAGCACTCACTGCTCTTCCAGAGGACCCAGCACCCACATGGAAGCCCATACCTGCCTATAACTGCAGTTTCAGTGAACACAACACCCTCACACAGACATACATGCAGGCAAAAATACCAATGCACAGAATAAAAATGAATACATCATTTTAAAAAAAGAAAGAAATCTTACCTCAAGAAGGCAAAAGAGCAAACCCGAAGTCACCCTCTGACCCCTACAAGTGCACTGTGGCAGGTAAGCACAAGCCACGTATGCACAAATATGTTAAAATAAAAAAATTAAAGATTTTATTTATTTATCTATCATGTATACAGTAATCTGCCTGCATGTGTGCCTGTAGTCCAAAAGAGGGAACCAGATCTCATTATAGATGGTGTAAGCCACCATGTGGGTGCTGGGAATTGAACTCAGGACCTCTGGAAGAGCAACCAGTGCGTTTAATCTCTGAGCCATCTCTCCATCCTTAAAATAAATATTTTTGAAGATCAATCTATCAAATAAAATTGAAATTGCATCACATGCTTGCAAAGGGGACCATTCTCTAGCCACTGGCTTTCTCAGCCTAGACAACAGAAACCAAGTCAGAGTCCTGAGGACCACACAGACCCACCTGCTCCTGGCCCTCTTTACAGGGAGATTAAAGCATACAATCCATGGGCTCTGAACCCATTCCCTCCCCAAAGGCCCAGCTGTTTCTTGGGCAATGGCCAGTTACAGACCCAGGGAAGCAAACATACAGAGTAAGCCTAAAGCAACTCTCCAAGTTATCAGAGGTTACCAGGAATTGGACAAATGGGTCTAACTGTTAAAATAAGTAGGTTTCCACCCAGGAGCTTCAAAGTTGAGAAAATGTGAACATTGTAAGAACAGTATTGGCAATAGACTATGAGCCCAGGAAGACAGGATGCTTGCCATTGTCGTCCAATAAGTCTTATACAACATAGAGATTTATGATAATTAAGACTGAGCTAGCAGATGAGAAATCCTAGTCACTGGCCAAGCAGCATTTGAAACTAATATAAATCTCTGTATTATTCAGGGCCATAACATGGCGGTGGGCGGAACTTGGGCGGCCTGGCAGAAAGCTGCCACATGGCGGCAGGGCTCGGGTGGCTTTGGAGTAAAGACTTATAGTAACAAGACGAAAATATATCAAAAGATGTTTAGGGCCAGTAATACGGTGTAGGATAGTGGCGCTCTCGCTGCCAAGCTTAATGACCTCAGATCAGTCCCCAGGACCCACATGATGGAAGGAAAGAACCAACTCCCAAGGCAAGAGGATCATAACTTGAAGGCTAGCCTGAGCTACATAGTCAGACCCTGTCTCAATAAAACATGAGTGGCACACAGTTGCACATGGAGGCAGGAGGATCAGGAGTTCAAGACCAGACTGGGCTACATGAGACCCTCTCTCAAAAGACAAAATCAACAAAAAGAGCAGTGCCTGTGGTAGAGCCTTTAACCAACCACGTGTACCACTCACACCAATTTGCACAGTGTCTCCACTCACCGTCTCATGGGATTCTAGCTAGGGGTCCAAGCATCCACAGAAAAATGACAGAGCTAGAGTTAGAATGACTCACCCGTCCTCAGGTCTCTGCTCCTCAAGCATCTATAGAGGTTTTCCCTTCTCAAATGTCACTGGGATTTTTTTTTAAGCTACTTAAGGGGTAGTGCTAATTTGATAAGCACTCAAGAGAGACACGGCACACAGTGATGGTTAGCAAGCAGGCTTTATCTATGGAAGGCAACACTTGAGGGAGGGTGGCTACTAATCCCTAAGAAGGGTCTGAAGTCCCGCCTAGCTGTGGCCCACATTTGGCTGTGGTTGGCCAGCTTTCCAGGCATCACCAGTGCTTCAGAAAGCCAGTGTTCATTTCCAACCTGTCAAGAGCCTTTAAAGCTCAAGTACCCAGCATTCCTAGTGCCTACAGCTATACCTTATAAACAAATATCCTACCCAATATAAGGAACCAAGGCTCCTTGGAGGAATGGCTGACATCAGGACTGATTAGGAAAGCGCCTAAGATGAACCTCATACACCTTCTGAAGCAAGGGAGAGGAGCTCACCAAAAGCCCACACATGTCAACCTGAAGGAGCTCCAAACTGTCACAATCCAGACCACGTGAGCCACGATATAAATGATGCAACTGAATACAACTCACAGAATAAATGTCCGTGAATCTATACTAACATAAAAACTGATTAGGGGCTGGCAAGATGGCTCAGCAGGAAGAGGTGGTTGCAGTCAAACCTGATAATCTGAGATGCATTTTTAGGACTAGAATGGAGAAAGGAGAAAACCAAACTCAGCAAGTTGTTCTCTGATATCCACATGCACACTGTGGTACATACACACACACACACATACACACAGGAACGTGTGTGTGTTTAAATAACAAAGGCCTGGAGAGATGGTTCGGCAGTGAAGAGCACTGGGTGCTCTTGTAGAAAACATGTGTTTATTCCCACATGGTTGCTCATAACCATCTGTAACTCCAGTTTCAGAGAATCCAATGTTCTCCTCCAACCCTGATAGGCACCAGGCACACATACAATGTACATACATACATGTAGGCAAAACATTCATGCACATAAAGTTAATATATCTAAATAAAATTTAAGAATAAAAACAAAACTGGGAGTAGGACAGCCCTTCCCTAGAGTAAAACCCACGAGTAAGAAAAGAATGATGGGCCAGGCAGAGGTGGCGCACTCCTTTAATCCCAGCACTTGGGAGGCAGAGGCAGGTGGATCTCTGTGAGTTCAAAGCCAGCCTAGTCTACAGAGCAAGTTCCAGGACAGGCTCCAAAGCTACACAGAGAAATCCTGTCTCAAAAAACCAAAAAGAGAAAGGAATGATGGAAATAACTAGCAAAAATGATGATGGAGGGAAGAAAGAATTGAAGCATGATGAGAAAGAACATTTGCAGTCTTAGTATCTCCTGCTGTATATCTGAGAACAAAGCTAGATGCCATGTGAGCCAGCTGGTGTCTCAAGACCCGCGATGGCAGTCTTCCTGACAGCATGCACCGTGGACACAAGGAGGTGCCACTTCTTCAGCTGCCAAAAAACATACAACCTGAATGTAATCAGGAGGAATTAGCAGACCAATCCAAGTAGAAGGGTATTCTGCCAGAACTCTCAGCCATTCTTCAAAAATCTCCAGGGCACAAGAGAAAAAAAGATGGAGAATGTGTCCCAGGAAGAGACCACAAGACCTGACAACTTGAGGCAGCAGAGGATCCAGAGCAGGATCCCAAGCCAGAACGAAGAATCAGCAGGGCAACAGTTAACAGTGTGGTACCAACGTGCACTTGCTGGCGCTGATCTTTGTTACAGCCACAATTGCTTAATGACAGGGACAAATACTGAAAATTGCATACTGGGTCATTTGGTCATTAAGCAAACATCACAGGGTGCACTTGCAGAAACCCAGATGGCCATGGTTAATCACTCAACCATGGCCTCCTGATGCACCCAAGGGACAGAGCACATATGAGATGCCCAAGAAGGGCAGTGTAACCCAGCACCTGAGTTCACAGTATTTCATAAAGGAACACACTCTAATGGGAAAATGCACATGAGTCAGCCACACACTGTATCATCACCAAATACCGTGGCATACACATAATTGTACATGCTAGACCTTTTTCCTAAGATTTATTTATTTATTCTGTATACAGTGTTCTGCCTACATGCATGCTATGCCTGCACGCCAGAAGAGGGCACCAGATCTCATTTACAGATGGTTGTGAGCCACCATGTGGTTCCTGGGAATTGAACTCAGGACCTCTGGAAGAGCAGTCAGTGCTCTTAACCTCTGAGCCACCTATGCTAGACTTTTATGGGCAGGTGATAGAGTGGGTGCTGTTTATGTCAGTTGTCACATAATCAAGAAATGTGCTATGCCTCGATGGCAATAGGGAATGTTTGAGCTGTTATAATCTCACATATAATTCCTATATGTGCCCAACTGAAATATTTTTTTTTTTTGCTTTTTGTTTTATTTTTCCAACTGAAATCGTATTATATAGTACATGGCTCCATATTATATATACATTATGGGTGCATATTATGAGCTGTGTTATAATGTTATGGTCAATGTAAGATTTCAACATTAGAGGGAATTAGGGGAAAAACAGAAGGGAACTCCTCATGTTACCTTTATCACAATTTTCTATATAGAAACTGCAAAATTATTTCAAAATAAAAGGTTACACTGAGGGGGCTGGGAAGATGACTCAACATTTGAGAGTGCTTGCTGCTCTTGCGGAGGACCCAGGTTCAGTTCGCAGTAGCTCACACCTTTAAACCAAGCACTGGGGAAGCATAGGCAGGCAATCAAAAAAGGAAGAAAAAAAAAAAAGCACAGAATCACAAAAAATGAAAACACATGCCACCGAACTGTGAACGTAAAAGATGATGCAGATGGTAAATTTTATACATGTTTCGCCGAACCAAAAACCTGCCAAACCAAAAACTGAAGACTTGAAATTTAGTAAAAGCCTAGACTCAGTCATAATTGGGCCAAACAACCTTCTCCTGATTTGGGGAGACTCACCACTCTGCATACAAAATCACAGGCGTGTAGGCTATTCTAGAAGGGAAAAGCTCTTTCTAGTCCTGTGGAGCCTCAGGAGTCAAAGGAGACCAACTTGCTCTCTTTGTCCTCTGATGTGTCAACAACTAACAGGCCTAATCTGTTTATGGCCAGAGGACCTGACAGCCCCAGGAGCCACAGTATGGGTAAGCTTCCAAGATCTAGTGTCTCAGAAAACTGGGAGAAGGCCCCACACACCTACAAATTAGGCCAGCAACAGTGACCAGTTAGCCCTGCTTCCAAATGCCACCTCTGCCCTTCAGCCTTGGCCACTTTCGTTATTGGCAGTCTTGAATAAAACAGATCAATTGAGAAAGAAAGCCCGTAGCCTGCGGCCAGGCACACAATGACATCGAGGGATTCTAGAACACTAGTCTTGAGTCCCCCACTGCCAACGACAATCCTTAGTCCTGGGGACACAGCTCAATGGGTAGTGCTCACCTGGGGTGCATGAGCACCTACCACCCCAGAAACTGGATATGGTAGCATTCACCTGTGATTCCAGAGTTGGGAGATAGAAGCAGGAGGATCAGAAAGAAGTTCGAGGTTGAGCTTGCCTATATAACAAGTTCAAGGCTAGCCTGGGCTACAGGAAACCCTGTGTCAAAAAGAAAAGGGAAGCTCCTGGGGACAAACAGCATCCTAGCCAGGCACCCTCAATAAGCATAGGAACACACAAAACCAAATGTTAGATAAATGTGTTTAACACTTGCTACAGCACAGCCCATTAACAGATGGGTATATGTGTCCTGGTCATAACACTACCACAGAACTCAGAATGTACAGAGCTCAGACCAAGGCAGCCTGACTGTTGTTATCTGGTTGATTTTTGTTCTCTGATATGGAATCTCACTACATAATCCTGGCTGGCCCTGACCCCACAATCTCTCCCTACCCTCTGGCCTCCCAGTTTAGAGGCCATGCGATGTCATCCTTAACACCAAAATCCTGTCATGAAGGACTTCCAAGGCCCACACATCCTAAAATGTCCTCACGGGACAAAGGTGAGAACCTTACCCAGTGTTAGGCGAGAAGGATGAATCAAAGGTCAGCTTCAGTCCACGGGTGAGCTGCACAGAAGAGAAGGGTGGTACAGGTCAGCCGAGGGCAAGCCCATGGATGCTGCGATGGGAATGAGTAGAGCCAGAACTTCTGGCCGGCAGGCCTTACCTGGTCTTCCACGGTAATCTCGGTACCCAGGGTGTTGTCTGTGTTCCACTTCTCTGTAAATGTCAGCCCATATTCAGTCCATCTGTACTTGGTTTCCAGGCTGCCATTTACTTTGGTAGTCTCTGTGTTGGCGGAGCCTGAGCTGGTAAATTCCTTAAAGAAGAGAGAGTATATATCAGCCTGCTCTGGGTACCTCTCACAGTACAGTCCAGTTGCCCTGGGTACCTCTTACCCTACAGACCAGCTGCCCTGAGCACCTCTCACCCTACAGTCCAGCTGCCCTGGGCACCTCTCACCCTACAGATCAGCTGCCCTGGTCACCTCTCACCCTATAGACCAGCCTGTCCTCAGGATGTCTCCAGGCCCTTAAGCAATAGAGAGACCCTGGCATGTCCAAGCAAAGCTATCTCCTCAGTTCAGTCAGATACTGAAAATACAAAGGAGTAAAAGACCCCACTACCAAAAGGAACCTTCTGGGGATGTTTCTTAATAATAATAATGAAACATTAAAAACATAGATGGTGCACGTCTTTAATCCCAGCACCCAGGAGGCAGAGGCAGGAGGATCTCTAAATTTGAGGCCAATCTGGTCTACATAATGAGTTCTAGGTAATCCAGGGTCATGTAGAGAGACCCTGTTTCAAAAAAATTAAGCATAAATAAATAAATAAATAAATAAATAAATAAATAAGCAAGCAAGCAGAGGTCAACAAGGCTGAAGAGATAGCTTAGTGGTTTAGAGCACTTACTGTGCTTGTAGAAAATGTGGGTTCAAGACCCAGCACCCACAATACAGTTCACAATGACCTGTAACAGTAACTCCAGTTCCAGGGGATGGCCTCCCCAGGTTCCCCTGCATACATGTGGTCTATACAAACTTATGCAGGCATGCATGCTCGTGCACACACACACACACGAGCACACAAATAAGTCTTAAAAAAGAAAAAGCTTCCGGAGGGGTGGTTGATGCATGCCTTTAATCCCAGCGTTTGGGAGGCAGAGGCAGGTGGATCTCTGTATGTTCTAGGCCAACAGAGCAAGTTCCATGACAGAGCTACACAGAGAAACCCTCTTGGGGGGGGGGGAGAAGGAAGGAATGGAGGGAGCTGGAGAGATGGCTCAGTAGTTAAGAGCACTGGCTGCACTTCCAGGACCCAGCTTCAATTCCCAGCACCCACATGGCAGCTCACAACTGTCTGTAACTCCAATTCTAGGGGATCTGACATGTTCACACCAAAGCACATAAAATAAAGTTAAATAATTATTTTTAAAAAGAGAGAGAGAGAGAGAGAGAGAGAGAGGTCATTTTTAAAGTAAGAAATACCAAGAATGGGTTAAAATAAAGGTATAGGTCAGTGGATGAGCACTTGCCTACAATGCATTAGGCCCTGAGTTTGAGTTCCTTCCGGCACCACAAAACAACGTGTAAAAAAGCAGCAAACATAATGACAGTTTTACCAGAGGCCACTCTCATTTTCCTATGAACATTAACAGCTACTATAGTCAGACCACCTACCACACAGAGATATGATGATAGGACAGGCACAAGCAGCCATAATCCAAATAGGCAACTGCTTTTTAGGACCACCAGCCCGGCCATGGCAGCCCCTACTGGTCAGGGAATAAATATACCATCCCATGTCAATTGAGTAACTTACCAATCCATTCTCGGACTTTGTTTTCAAATCAAGTTTTATTAAGCCAAAGCCTAAAAAGAAAAACAACCATAAACAAGTTAACTAAGCCAGAGGGGCTGGGGGTGCA